CCCCAAAACCCCAAAACCCCAAAACCCCAAAACCCCTCAACTAAGAATCTTAATTGATGGCTTAAATAAAATTTAGCCCATGAGCTTTAGCTCTTTTCCTTCTAAAAGCCTTTGTGGCTGACTTGATACCTCCCATCGGAGAAAAAGGATCTCCAGACAAAGGGACTGCAAAGCTACACTCTCTACTAGTTGGTCTTAGTTGGATAGCATGACTCTTTCTTGATTTTGCTATCGACCTAGTCCTTCTTCGTTTTGCAGGATAATAGTCAGCAGGCCCTGGACTCTGAGGAATTTCTTTTAGTGTAGACTTTATATCCTTGCCAAAGGTAATATTCAAAAATTTGGAGCATTTTGTAGCATTTTCCTTTAATGTGTAATGCGTTGGAGGCGGATTAGGACTTTTCTGATCTAAAACTTTAACCATAAATATTACCAAAATAGCTCTTTTCCCTTCTATTTTAGGGTAAACTTAGGTGCAGACTTCTTCTGACAAAGGATATCATTATAGAAGCCTGGCCCAGGAGCAGTCCAATTGAAAATTTTGATATTCTTGTTAATATCTCACTATTTTTGAGTTTAAAATTTACGGTTTTCTTCTGGTCGTATGTGATCCCAAATGTTCATTTTATTTGACTCCGATTCTTTTTAAGACTCTTAGAGGATACTTCGTATGACCCTATATTAGATGTTTCTCTCCACTAAAAGCCTTATTACCTGGTCCGGGATTGTTGTTTAATGCTTTGAAAGTAAACTTTGATCCATGGCCAAAAGAACTTGCCTAGAAAATTACTAGATCATTTACAATATTGGAGCCAAAGTTACTGGATACGTCAATAAATTCAGCACGAGATCCTCCAGTTGCCGCACTCAAAAATCGTTGTCCTTTAGTAAAAGACTGCGGGATTATGCTGTTTCTCAAAGTATTTGCCGAGTTATACTGAGCTGGATTCTAAATTAAAGTTAATTATCTAAAATTTTCCAAAAATTCATACTTTAAGGAATTTATTTCATAAAAGAAACACTTTTGTCTTTTGTGAGTTTATCAGTGGAGAACTTTCTAGCTCTAAAAGTTATCCTCCAAACTCTTACCTCCGCTCAGCAGTTTTAGATCTCTGTTTGAACCTGTATTCCATGAAAGAAAATTCAAAATTATATTTATTTCTGGGGTTTTGGGGTTTTGGGGTTTTGGGGTTTTGGGG